TTTAACTATAGGAACCCAAATATATTTTCCTTTAGGAACACCAAAATGCTTAATTTTACATCTATTTGAAGTATGACCATGTTTCATACAATAAAAGCATGCATTAGATGTAATTTTAGAATATGATACATTTCTAACTATTGAAGTTTTGGTTCCTTTTTCAACCCATACTCTTCTATTTTTACTTTTAGGCTTTTTCAAAGGAACATGACAATTTTCTTTAATTTGAACACTATCCTTATTCTTATAATTATCACTTAATTCCTTTTTAGCTTTATCAAGCAAATGTCTAAGTAAATCAATATCATGTTCATACTCTTTACATGATGCACATGCTATAGTCTTATCATCATTCTCATCTATGCATACAATTTTCGTTTCTAAGGTTTCCTTTTCCTCTAAACATGAAATTTTCGTTTTTAAGGACTCCTTTTCCTCTAAATATACAATTTTCGTTTTTAAGGAGTCTATTTCCTTTTCGGATCTACTTAGATTCTTCTTTACAACTATATATTCATTTTTCAAATTCTTAAAAGCACTAAACAATTCATTATATGCATTTTGTAATTCATCAAAATCATTTTCATCATCACTTGAGGATGAGTCGGAATCACTAACCTCAAAGTCGGAAGATATATTGTCTTTTGCCAACAAGCAAATGTTAGCTTCAATTTCCAAATCACTTGACTCCAAAATTGAGTCACTATCATCAGTTCCTTCATAATTTGCTCTTAGTTTATCCCACATTTCTTGAGCACTCTTACAAACTGATATCCTGTAAAACTCGTCAAGGGTTAAAGCAGATGAAATTATATTTCTAGCCCTAACATCAAATTGTGCTTTTCTACTTTCTTCGGCAATCCATCTAGAAAAAGGTTTAAGAACATCAACACCATTCTCTGTAACTTTAGGAACAAATGGACCATTTAAAATAGCGTCCCAAACGCCTCTATCAACAGACTCTAAAAATATTTGCATACGTACCTTCCAAAAAGGATAATTTTGACCCGCAAAAAGTGGGGGTCTGTTGATAGACGCACCTTCAGCAAAAGTTTGATTTTGTCCGGCCATTTTCGAAAATTTGAATGACTATCAAAGAAAGCTCGGATACCACTTGTTAGAATCGCGCAGCGGAATGTTCGCGTGGTCGGACAAAAACCAAGAGGGGGGTGAATTGGTTTCTTAATAAAAATTAGGTTTTCAAAATTTTCCCCAAATTTTACCGATTAAAAACTGTGTAAATGTAAATAGAGAAGGGATAGAAATCTTACACAGGAGATTTATACTGGTTCGGATCAAAAGACCCTACGTCCAGTTGCTAATCACTCAACAGAGGATTAACGCTGTCACTATAAACAAGTTGTTACAAACAGATTACAATTGAGAAGATAAAGATACGAAAACACCTCTCTTGAAATTCATAAGAGATGATGAACAGCTTTCCCTAGAGATGGAACAGCACACAATCCACTAAGAACTCCACTTAGTGATTCTTATCGCTTCTAGCCCACACCAGGTTCCAAAAGCCCATTTTCCTTGCAACAAACAATTCTCTGGCACTCACAGCACTTAAATTTTATATGGAAAAGGTTGTTCTTCTTTTCTGAGTGCCAAAGGAGAGTTTAAGTAGGGAAATTAGGGTTTAGAAATTAGGGATTTCGAAATTAGGGTTCTTGGTAATTGGATTTTCGAAAATAGGGTTGATTTGAAATTTAAAAACAAAAACAGACTGAAATAATCGATTTAATGGAGTTATAATCGATTAAAACAGAGCCAAAAACAACAGAACCCAAAACCTCTCTGTTTTAATCGATTATTAGACGTTTTAATCGATTATCAGACGTAATAATCGATTATTTTGAATTTTAATCGATTAAAGCAGTGAGTTTATACAGAAAATGGTTTTCTCACTATTTTAATCGATTATTTCCCTATATAATCGATTAAAGCCGAGCCTGGATGATATATTTGGGCTTTTTGAAGCTTCTAAGTTGCAGACTATGTACCGGCTATCTCAAACTCTAAAATTACAGACTCAATCTAATTAAAACAGAGTTATTACACTACAAAACAAGTCTTCAATACTCTAAGTCTTTGAGTTCTTGAATCATCATCAAAATCATCAATCTTCATGTTCATCAAGTGCAACATCAAGTCCTTGAATGTTCAACATCTACCACCCTTCGATTCCTTTTTCTGACCTCTCCCCTTATTTTTAGTGATAAGTACCTCAGACTGAGATAAAGAACCATGTGTCTTCCGTCTCATCTCTTCATTAAGAGTATCATTCTTTGTCGTTTGGAATTAAATAATGTCATTAGGGGTTGAGTTTGTAATTGAAACCTGAAATATCTTCTAAGACTCTAGTAGAATATTCAGTAGTTATAGTCCTAAAACTTCATCGTCAAAATTTATATCCTGACAGTTGGTCTAGGAGCCCTTAAAACTCAGTTAAGTGATATGAAATGGAAATATTCTCCTTATAGCTCAAATTCATCAAACAATTCAACAAATATAATTCATTATTGCATGGCTTAGAAGCATACCAGGACTCAATCTTCTCCTATAAAGTTCTAGTATGTGTCTCATTAGTAATGTGATTATAAACGTTGTCTTCTACATATTGCGAATAAAATTGCGCACCTGTTGGTGCTCAAAGTCCAATTCTTCATCAGACGTAGAATCCGACTTTTGTGTAGCAAAGACTGAAAGATGCAATTTCTTCACAAATAACAAATCTGTCATCTTACCTTTCAAAAAATGATAGTTTGTACCATTTAAAGCAACAATTTTTGTATTTGCCTTCATCATTCAAGCAAGTAAATATAAACCAAAAAACTAAGAGTTCTGATGTCACTCTCATAGTGAAAAACAACACAACAACCTAAAATACCAAAGTATGCAGCGGAAATAATTTTCTTAAACTTGCAAGAATATATGAGAAACAACACCAATTGAAAATGACAATAATAATCACAACAAAGAACACCAATATTTTTAATGAGGGAAAACCCCTCAAGATGAGAAGTAAAAATCCACGGATACAAGTCATTCAATCAAGCTCCACTAAGATTAAAAGTATGAGTACAAGATAATCAAATCAAAATGCACAAATAAGTGTCTGCAAGTAGCCAATATATAATTTGAAGAACAAAGAAAAGAAACTTAACCACCAGCCATAGTGCGAGAGACAGGTATCTCCATATTGATATCTCTAACTACAAACATCCAATTAACAATCCCAACGGTCAAAATGAAGACACTTACTTCGCGAACCAGTTGTCAAAATTTCATCCAGGTACAATGGTGAATGAAATGAGAATCATAATTTTACTGAGGCGTTAAATAAGTGAAACTTTTTTCTTTTCTTTTTCTCTTAAAAAGTTGTGAAATTTAGTGTTCTGTCCTAGAAGATCTTTCTCCACTTAGATTAAGTGTGATAAAATAAACACTACTACAAAATATACTTTTTACGTCGTCATTTAACGTCGATTATAGCTGAGACGACATAGAAAGTACTTTCCACGTCGGTTCCCAGATGAACCGACGTTGAAAGATGAATATTAAACACATTCTACGTCGGTTCTTAGTCAACCGATGTAGAAAGTACTTTCTACGTCGGTTTCCATATAAACCGACGTTGAAAGTCTTTTTTTTTTTATTTTTTTTTTCACTTATTGACACTTTCCACGTCAGTTCCCATATGAACCGACGTGGAAAGTCTTTTTTTTTTCACCCAAAAATTCACTTAAATTTGAAATTTGTCACTGGCGAATTCGAACTCGGGATTTTAGAATTGAAAACTAATACTCTAACCACTAAACTATTATAATTTTCTCGATAATAACTTATAAATAAATTATATTTATATACAAATAAATATATATCCATGTAAATATATATTTATTTGTATATATTTTCTGGAAAGTATTTTTATTTTTTTTCAACTAAAAATTCACTTAAGTTAATGAATTGTCATCGACAGGCATTTGAACCCAGTATTTTAGGATTGAAAGTTAATATCCCAACCACTAAACTACTATAATTTTTTGATAATAACTTACAAATAAATTATATTGGTATTTTTCGATCGAGGGTGAAAGTGTGATTGACTCTCGCTTGTGTGAAAATATGTTAAAGCTCACGGAAATTCACTCACTCAAGTCTCGCTTGAGCGGAAATTTGTATTTTTCGCTTGAGAGCGAATAACACGTTTCCCAAATTTATTTTATATCATTATATAAATAAAATTATAAATATTATATTCTGTCATTAAATTACAAACTCATATAAAGATACCTGCTCACAAATTTAGCATCAAATTTTGAAAACCCACTTGACACACACTTTCACTTTCGAGTGTGCCCTCACATCCAACATATAAATATATAACTATATAAATATATCAAAATATATAAATATATTTGTATTTATATATTTATTTGTATATAAATATAATTTATTTGTAAGTTATTATTAAAAAATTCTAGTAGTTTAGTGGTTGGAGTATTAACCTCCAACTCTAAAGTATCGGGTTTGAATCTTGTCAATGACAATTCTCTTAAAAAATTAATAAACTTTTAAAAAATATAAATTCCTAAATAAATAAAGGAGGTAAAGGGGTTGTAAATAAATAAAAATTATTAATTTAAAAAATCATATTTTCAACGTCGAACCGACGTTGAAGACTTTATTTGTAGTAGTGAAAATTGACTAATTTGAGTTTTTTAGACACATAGTTAAAAAGTTCAATCCAACAAAGACAATGTCAATCACTTATATTAATTTTGCTCATCTCATTTTCCCCAACAAAATAAGACGGTGATAATATTTAGACAATTTCTTCCGTGTCTTTTTTGAAAAATCTGTTTTAGTGTCCCTATGTTAAGAATTAAAGGAAGTTTGTTCATTATAACCATCATTTTACCAAATACTATTTGACAAAAACGTGATATTTGTCCATTACAACCACCATTAAAAGTCTAGTTGATATATTAAAGATGGTTATGTTCACGTGTAGGTTTCTGCCTTCTCCTCTTAAGAGAAGGATTAAGGAAATTAGTAGAGACATACGAGCTTCACTCTCGGATATGATTGAAAAGAGAGAGAAGGCACTAAAGGGGGGTGAAGCCCCTAAAGACAACTTGTTAGATACACTTCTGGAGTCGAATCGGAAGGAAATTGAAGAACATGGAAAAAATAAGAAGGTTGGAATGACTATTGAGGATGTTATGGACGAATGCAAGCTCTTCTACGTAGCAGGACAAGAGACGACTGCATCTTTGCTTGTTTGGACAATGATAGTGCTGAGTATGTACCCTGATTGGCAAGCACGTGCAAGAGAAGAAGTATTGAAAGTTTATAGCAACCGAAAACCAGATTTTGATGGACTGCACCACCTTAAGATTGTAAGTTTCTATCATGGTACACTATTTTTCAACACATTTACATACAATTATATGTTTTCCATTTTTTCGCAACAGACCACCATGATTTTCTACGAGGTTCTTAGGTTGTACCCACCGATAGTTGTTTTTCATCGACAAGTTCACAAAGATGTGAAACTTGGAAACCTCTCATTACCTGCTGGAGTGAAGATTGCCTTGCCATTGGTTATGGTTCACAATGATTGTAAACTCTGGGGTGATGATGCTAAGGAGTTCAAACCAGAGAGATTTTCTGCAGGACTTCTGAAGGCCACAAATGGAAAAGCTTCATTCTTCCCCTTTGGAGGAGGTCCAAGAATATGCTTAGGACAAAACTTTACCTTGTTGGAAGCAAAGGTTACTTTGTCGATGATTTTACAACGTTTCTCGGTTGAACTTTCTCCAACCTATGTTCATGCTCCATGTTCCGTGATTTCTCTTCAGCCCCAATATGGTGCTCATGTCATTCTACGTAAGGTTGAAAATAAAAAATACTAATTAGCTCTTCCTGAAAAGTTTATAATTTAATAAATTAAGTAGATTGATAGAGACGTAAACTTGTTCATGTCTTAGTAGCTTATCTTCTAAAATAAATTATTGTGAGAAATGCTCATCATATATCTTTTAAGAACCCATATATATTTGTCTATTAGTTTAGATTTAATTGTATTTTTTCCCGTTAATGTGTGATTTTAGAGATTTAATTTTTAGATTTGGGTCCTTAAATATTTAATAATTGTATAACTTTTATTATAATTATAATCTCCAAATAATTCACCTAGCTAGTTGTGTGGGTTTTTTTTTTTTTTAAGATTTTTAATCTTTCTTTTCATCTATTAAAATTCCTTCCAAATCACATAGTCCTCTAATTTTTGTAATCAATGATATATAGAATTGAATAGATAATTGAATTTGTGAATAACATTAAATATCATAACAATTTATATATCAGAGGTCTGGTATCAAATAATAAAATATAATATCTCACAATACATGCACAAATTCAATATATAATTTTTACAAGATAAAATTTTAATTCTCTCAAAACATAAAATTAGGATATCAAAATGAGTCGTATTAAAGGTTCGAAAGGTTAGACTAAGTAAAAAAATATATTATTACGTAAGTTTATGATTCAGCTTATTTTATAAAATAATTATTATTTTTAAATAAAAATAATATATATATATATATATATATATATATATATATATATATATATTATAAATTAAATTAAACTATTAAATTTTTCTACCAAGAGGTGGACTGCCCATCTTGACACTCTAGACAAAATTACTCAAGTTCTGAATAAACCAAACAAACATACTGGAATAAACAAGATTTCATTAAAATGAAACATTGTCTTAATAATGATTTTTTTATTATTTGTAAAACATTTTTTATCTAATTCATTTTAGAAATTGAATGTTATTTAATAATATAATTATTGATAATATTATATATATTAATATAAATTACTTTTTTTTTCAACAAATATATTTTTTATGTAAAAATAAAATTAACGATATTCATTAAATTTAATATCATTCAATCACATATTATATGTCAATTATAAAATAAAATAATAATAGAAAGGTAAGAGGATATACTTCACAAAATTAAGAGTTAAAATATCCTTTATCTATGTTTATGTTGTATTTATATGTTTCACCATGTAACATGATATAAGGTATAGTAATAATATTATCATGAAATAAAAGAGAAATTCTATAAAAAATATATATATTTATATAGTGATTTATTTTAAAGAAAAGTATTTATTATGATATAATATTTTATACAGTGAAATAGGATGACACTTACTATTGTAAATTTTTTTCTCATTCTCAGTTTACTTTCTATGCGAATATTGTGAATAAACATTATAAAATAAAGATAAAATATTAAAAGACATTGTGAATATTTATATTAATACGGTTTAATTAAATAAGAATTAACTTATTAAATATTTTCTATAAATTATATATTTTATATTTTTAAAAGACAACTTAAAAAATAATTATTTTATATAGATAATCAAATGTTTGAATAAAATATAATAATAATAATAATAATAATAATAATAATAATAATAATAATAATAATAATGTTATAAGTATTTTATATCTATATAAAGAAAAAATGATTAAATATTTTTTTATATATATATTTTAATGTAAATAAATTAAAAAATATATTTAATTAATAATAATTATAAATTGTAAAATTATAAATATTTATTTATGTATAAAAAATACATAAAAATATTAAAATTAATTTATTATAAATATAATTTTTTTAGAAATAATGTAGATCGGGACTGAACGGGACGGGTGGGGAAATCCAAAATCTAATGGGGACCGGGATGAAGACTTAATTTCTAATCTCGACGGGGATTGGGGACGGGGGTGAAGACAATTAAAAATGTTAAGAGCGGGGTCGGGAGGCAAAACCCGTCCCCATCCCATTTTCATGCATACTCTCACCCCTTAATCCTCGACTAGGTGTGATGTTTTGATATTTTCATAAGTGGATGCGGACATCGAGGCCCAAACCCATGACAAAACACGAAGCCTAAGATCCAATAGAAGGATTTGGAAGACTCGTAACAAGAACAAGAACTAAGATGGTCCATGAAGTCTTGCAATAGATGGTGGTTAACCCGATAGAAACTCAATTGCATGATGTAACTCAATTCGTGGATGTAACATCCTAGATTTGCAACTAATTATATAAATAAAATTTGTAAGTTATTGTATGGTTATTGTAATAAATATGTACGGAGTATTATGTAGAATTATTATAAAATATGATTTTGTTTTGATTATAGTATTTTTTTATCTTAGGAAAATTATAAAATAAAATCCAAGGTTAATATTGTGTGAAATAATAATTTCTTAATAATTTATAATAAATAAATTAAAATATAATTAAGAATAAATGAATAAATAAATATTTAGGAACTTAAAAAAAAAATAGAAGGTCAGTGATGTACGCCTTAATACATTTAAATTAAGTCGGTGAATAACTGAATTGAATTAAGGCGGTGTAGATAGAATTGAAGAAAATTCGAGAAGGAATGTAAGTCGGTGAGTAAGTGTATAAATAGGATGAAATTGGAAACCTACACCAACACCACTCACAGCCAATTTGGAGAAAATAGGAGAAGCAAAAGGAGAAGATAAAGAAGAAAAAGAAAAGGAAGGAATTGAGAAATAAATCGGTGGAATACTAGCAATTCTTGGAGAACCAGGTATGGGTTAAATGTTTAATTGTATTCATACGTTTAAGATTAGAATGTGTGATTTTGAAGATTTCTTCATGTTTGAAAATTTTGAAATTTTGTTGGAATTTTTGAAATTAAGGATGAATTATATGGTAAAATTATTGTTTTTGAATTAAATTGGATAGGTTTCATGTTTAATTTGGGTTTGGAATTAGTTTGATTGATTGATACTTGAGAATTTAAAATCTGGAGAAACTGAACTTGGTTACTAGGCGAAGAATGAAGAAAGGATATGGTGGAAATTTTTTAAAAAGATTAATTATTAAAATTAAGGATGAATTATATGGTAAAATTGTTATTTTTGAATTAAATTGGATATGTTTCATGATCAATTTGGATTTGGAACTAGTTTGGTTGTCTGAAACTAGAAAAATTTGAAATTTGGATGTTGGTCATGGCGTACTGGGAGCGAAGATTGAAGAAAAGTGTTGAATATAGAGGAAATAGGATTTGAAATTAATATCCCTTGTGTATAAATCACACATAGGGTAATCTATTTATAATAGAGAGGTACAACTAAAAGAGTAATCGAAAGTAAACAGAATAAACAGAAGATATTGTTTGATATTGTGGTTAACAATATCTAACAATATCAAACTATATCTAAACAACATCTAACACTCCCCCTCAAGCTTAAGCATACAAATCGTTGTTGAATTATTGGCAAGCGTACCAAAATTATCAATCGTAGTATAGTATTTCGATAAAATAAAAGTCGATCCCACGAGGAACAGTTTCAATGAAAATTCCCAATTATGCTTACTAAGTATATTAAACAGATTGGGTTTTGCAAATAAGAGTTGAGTTGAATTTAAATGACAAAGAACTGTAAATTGTTGAGAAAATACCAATTAAAGGTACTTAGGATTGACTTCCTTCCTTATCCCTCTTTTGTAATGTCTATGTCAATTAAGAACGTCAATTAACCTAACAATGTTGATGTCACCCACTCAAATCATCCATGTTGATTCCTCACACATGAAATTCATAAGAAAACCTAATAAATGTTGATTCATCACACAATTAACAAATTTTCCAGCATTAGGGTTAAGGTGTTTAAGCAATTGATACATTCATTCCATTCCTGACAATTAACGTAACAAATATTCTTACCGTAATCTAGGGTTCAAGATATATTTTCCAATCATACCTCAAATAATCAAGAATAAATCATTCCAAACCATAAAGGATAAGAATAACAACATCAAAGCATAGATTAATATCTCAAAATATCACCATGATACAAAAGAGTTCAAAGGAAGTGCACCGAATCCTAAGAGAATGAAGTTAGCCACTCATGTTGGCCATTACAATGCTCCAATTGATGAAGAATTGATGAAGATTAGACAAAACCCTAACAGTAGTCGTGCCTCCTCTCCTCCAAGACTGTTTGCTTTTCTCAAAACATAACTTATATTTTTATAAGAGAATTTGGGTCGGACCTCGCATCTTTCATTCGTTTAAGCGTTCTTCTTTCTTTAAATTTTACTCTAATTATGCTGATAATTGTGCTCCTTACTCTTGTATCAAGGTATTCTCGAATTCATCCTATATTGGGAGAAAAATATATTAAAATTAATATAAGTTAAGTGGTTTCATAACAATTCAAGGCATAATTATATCAACTTTTTATCACTTAACAACTCCCCCCAACCTAAAATCTTGCTTGTCCCAAGCAAAGTAATTTTTCCAAAACAAAACCATCGCCTATTATCACTTTCTCTTCTAGAACACACCTAAAAATTTTCAGAGGTGATGTTCACAACTCCAAATAAAAATAGAACACATAAGCATTCAAGTTATAGAAACCAACAAAGAATAATTAGTCCTCAACTATCCTTAGAGAAGCATGATCTCTCAAATAGAGTTATATATACTCATCTCTAATTCTCACAGGTAAGTGTTTATCTCATTCAATTACTTCATTTAGACAATCCAATATTGATAATCATCTTCAAGCAATCAACAATTGTTAAACAAGACTTAAATCAAAAGGTCTTTTGAGGCTTGTAATGGGGCTGGGCTAAGAAAGAATTATTGGTTTTTCTGGGATATACAAAAATATTTGAGAAATTCAACTCATATGAATGATTCTTGATTAACAATTCCTCAAGTTAGGTTTCAAACTTCATGCTTTTGTCCCTAACACAATGACAATGAGTTAATAATCTCACAAGTTATTACCCCCTTTTGACTTCTCTCTTTTTTTTTT